AGTAAAATCAAGAGATAATAACATTCTTTCATGAAATGATAAGAATTAGAAAATACGAATTGAAAAACGCACCAGATATTTGATGCTGTATGCCGCCGTTAAAAGGAGCAATGTGGTGCTTCCCAGTCCAACAATGCGTCGAGCTGAGTCGACTGAGATCCGAAGACATAGATGGTCAAGCAGAGCGCCAGAACCGATGTTACCCAAAATGCTGGAAAGAAAAAGTACAAAAACAGTTACTGATGACAGACGGAAAGTCGTAAAAGATTCTGAAGAGATTAAGAAATCACACAAAACGCTTACCCTCCTATTTCGTAAAGTACTTGGAAAGTAGCGAGATCTATGCCATTCTCGTTGATGTATAATGGTATCCATGTCTCACATATTGTTCGTACCTAGAAAGACAAACCAATAGACAACGGCGTGCCTCTTACATGACATCTACTCTTTACTAAATGAACGAACTAGTTAAAAAATAAAAAGAAACAAAAATAGAACAAACCTCCATCGTAAAGAGGTAGTTTACAGCAACGCTCCATATTACTGGAGACCAGATGAAAGTCAAGATATTCGATGATTTTCCTTTGTTCGCCGTTAACGGCGTCACATCATCGCCTCGTAAACAAAGATAGATAACGATAGAGTATATCAACGTGGCAAATCCTAAAACAGGTAAAAAAATCAACTGACAATAAATAAATAAGCAAAAGTCGCTGAACTTGCCAGAACAGATCGAAACTTTTCGCCAATAAAAATGGGCAAGTAATGGCAAGACGAGACCGGCAGTGGTACTACCACAGCCGAGGATAGAAAACATTTTGCCATAAGAACCATCGGTGTACCACTAAGAAAAAGTTATCTGAGAGAACCAAAAAACACTGCCATAATAGAGTTACCTTTGCCAAAAGCTTTGTGGCTGGAACCCATGATGCACCTTGAAGAGCACCGACCCATGCTAGGGCAAAAAGAACATGATAGAAGGATGAGACGTAGCCTAAAATCATGATAGGGCGTATACAGCTGTAACGTAAACAGTGACACAGGTTTACAATAGGAGCCATGTAGTGGACAGTATGGACAAAAAACTAAATTGAGAATGGGAATGTGTACTGCAGACACCAAAAAGATGAACTCGAAAACTGACATCAACGTCAAAACGAAGAAAACTACTCACTCAATCCTAAAGCTAGCATACTAGCATTTGTCCACAAACTCGTT